AGGGTAGAGTGGTGGTGATTCCGGTTGATATGGGTACTCTGGGGGTGGTGGATAGTTATCAAAGGGTACGGCAGCATAACCAACTGGAGGGTGTTGGTTAGAATATGATGCTAATCGGAAAGGAGGTTCAACTTCCGGCTGTTGAGGTAGTGTTGGTAAGGTGTCTCACACCTGGTTGTGGGTAACGGGAAACTGAACTAGTAAATGTGGACATAGGAATACCAGCAGCTGCTGTATGATTTGGTCTCTCCTGTCTGCGTTTTACAAGAATATATATCAGAACATTAAAACAGGCAACTAAGACGACCAAGCTGACAGTGACAGCTGTAATAAATACCGAATTTGGAGGAGGAGCAAAATTCCCAACAAAGCAATTGAGATAACAGCCCTATGACAGATAAGGAAATCCCTTAAGTTGTGAAAAAACTACTCATTCTGAATATATCTATACATATTAACAAGAAATAGATGGATATGTTGAAAAGCAACTTCCCGCGATAACTAGAATTGAATTTTACGATCCAAACATTTTTGACAACTTAATTGTTCCAGCAAGCGAATGAAAAAAAAAAATGTTTGATCTTCACTTGGCGTACGTATTGTAGCAAAAGAAAAATTTCTTTCTGACCTTGTTATAACTAAGCGCCTTCCGAGGTTAGAGCCTCAGCTTTCTAAGGGATATTACTGACTAAGAGACAAGATTAAGCTACTTATTTGTTTTTTCCTCTGCCTTGTAAGTGGCCGTGAAACCATTGTAAGCATTCTCACAATTCAATCCGCTGAAATGATGTGCGGACTATGCGATTACGGCGGAAAACCCATAATATTCATCAGCATGTACTAAAACAATGGATAGCATTGAAGGTGTTTTCTGCCGATTTTATTGTGGGGATTGCGCAGCTTGATAACTGTTACAACCATAGAACTGTCCCCAAACTTACCACCAAGTCCATATGCAGTTCCTGGTATCCGGGAAGCAAATATAAAAACTGTAAAAGAAAATTATGGAAAAGGTACGGCTAATAAAAAAAAAAATTGATTGGTCGAACTGTAGGCAGGGAATTCGGACATAACCAAATACTTCAGACTTGTGCAACACTTAGTCAAATTAAAACTAATTAGGGGAAACTCTCTAACGGATAAATAAAGGTACTACAATTATTAACATTAATTGTTTTTTTATGCAAAACTGCAACTGAAAAAAAAAACAAAAAAAAAACAAACTATCTAGATACGTCCGATGAATCATTAGACAAAAAAGTAGTCGGAACTAAATCAGACAAACTCCTGCAGCGTCAACTATAAATCTAAAATCGCCTAAGATTTCATTTTTTTTTTGAAAATGCGTTTTAGAGTCTTATGAGACTGATATAAATAGACCTCAAAATCTTAATGGAGACTGCTTAAACTGAAGCGTATTTGTTACATATTAGAGCTGATCAAAAGTTTATAGATCGTACTTAACTTTTCCCGTTTTAAATCAACTTATTGTATTTTCGATCAGTTCATCAAATTGTTTGCTTCACCCAACCCTCAGTCCATAATTTCAAGGTTATTCAATTGATTGCGATTACTCTGTCACTACGATGTTCAATATGAAAAGAAGATATATTCACTGGGAAAAAATGAGGGGCAGGGGGCCTGGTAGAACTTTTACTTTACTTCCTCTAAAAATCTCTCCTACCACCCCTTCCTTGTCACAAACATCGTGAATAAATTCGAAAATTCACAATCGGTGCTGTTATGTTCAATTGACTATAATACAAAAGATCCAGCCTGGGAGTGTCTATTTAGATTCATACGGTGAAATTTTCCTGATGTTTACGACACAAATATTAGGTTTGTCTAAAAAAAAAAAGAAAGCTGCGTCGTTTCAACCAAAACATTCAGTTGAATGCACGCTACATTTACATGTTATTCTTCAGCTTTTAAAAGTGATTCGAAGGATTAAATATGGATGAAGACTGATGCGATCGAGTTATCGATAAAGTTTCCGAAAATAAACGAAATTATGCCGTAACTTTGTACCAGATCAATTACGAAATTTGCAAATTTATAAGAGCTATACTCACGTACAACGACGCTCAATCGGTTACGCTAACCATACATAAATATAGCGAAATCTGCGCAAAACCAAACATCAGTATCATTGTGCTTTTTTCTCACCAATAGTGAGTACTTTAAGGGCTTCAAGTATTTCTCCATTGAGACAAAAACTATACTTTTCACTAACACGTAGTTTTCTTCGATATTAATACTTCGAGTTTCATGTAACTTATTTACCATTGGATCACAGCTAAACTAAAATAATCACTCACGAAACATTGCGAAATTTGAGGATAGGAAATTCTACTTACCTATGAGAATGATGCATTCCCCAAATGCCATTCAGAATTAGGCGATCTAAACAAACAGTATGGATTTTGCGGGTAGAGATCCTGAAATTCTTGGGTACGTAATTAACGTTTTGTGTAAAACACCACAGGACATCCAGCCACTAGATAGCGCTATATCCTCTACTCTGGATCAAGTTGATTAAGAAACACGGGTCACATATTCGTGTTTCTTGTACGAGGGCGTCGCACGCACACATACTGAGCGAAAAGTTTGGATTCACTAGGCTAAAAATTTGATGGAGACGCTGCTAAAATCATCGCCCTCCGTATAATAATCTATTAAACTATCGATCTCCTTTTTGGGTCTGATACACATTTTTTCAAATTAGATGAGAAGAAATTTAACAGTTATAATAATAACAAAAATTAAAAATAATAATAATCATAATCATAACGATGATAATAATAATAATAAAAAAGATAATAATGATGATGATAATAACAATTATGACAATAATAACAATAATGATAATAATAATAGTAGTGATAACGATAATAATAAAAATGATAATAATAATGATGATAACAATTATGACAGTAATAACAATAATGATAATAATAATGATAACAATAATAATAATGATACTAATAATGACAATAATAAGAAGAATAATGATAACGATAATAATAATAATGATAATAAAATAATGATAATAATACTAATAATGATGACAATATCAGGATAATTTTGAGTGCCTCAGTCACACATGGAACTTGTTCCTATTTCACGATGATAAACAAGAATCTTATTAGATCTACATCTATATATTTTCAACAGTTAAAGTTTTAGCATATTTTTTATTAACAATACAAGTTTATGGCTTCGTCACGGAGTTGGCTACAGCCTGCACCGCCCAACTATCGTGCTTGGAATCTAGGCATCCAGAAGTTTTACCCTGCCACAATGATGATAATAATGTTGATGTAAGAAATTTATACTGAGTAGGCTCTTGACACATATTTAACAGCGCCTTACAATGTCCTATTGAAATAACGAATGAAGAAAGACGAGAAAAGTACAATTCAAAAGTTTTAAAAAGCAGTTCTACAATACATTACTTTTCATATATAACTCACAGGACTCACTCATTAATTAAATAAAAGAAAATGACTAAATGCTTTTCTCTATATATACGTTTGAAAGGAGCTAACATTTTCGGAAGGAGCGAGTAAAGAAACTGAGGAAAATAGTGACGCCAGGATTCCAAATATTACATTTATAATTTTAGCAGACGAACAGTAAAATTTTTGAGGAATCAATTCTACCTACTGAGGCTCTTTACAGTGTTTATCATGCCGCATTTAATAATTTCTGAAAGATGAGTGGCTTCACTTTGGTAAAGACATTCGTTAAGACTGTCAAAACGTGTCAGCTAACGTCAGTCTCTACCATCGTCTCAGACCCTTGCAGGTCTACTTTCACCCAGACAATCAGACAACACGATCAATGGATGAGTTGCTAATAATTAAATCCTTTTGTTTGCGCAAAGGTTTTTGGGATCGCCTCGTGGCTGTAAAGAAATGCATGACGAAAGGTTGTTTGACGTCCAAAAAACTAGTTTGGGGGGAGATTATCGCTTTTTCGCCGCTCTTCTATCAGAAATGGATTTGGGTAATCGATACAAGGGAAGCGTAAGTTTTTGATTGAACAACCTTGATATATGTAACAAAATCTACCAATTAACATTCCTCCATGAGCAAACGCAAGGTTTATTGTGAAACTGACGTCGCTTTATAGTCTCGAAATTTGGAAATATTTGCTATAAATCGCCAAGAAATAAATCAATAAGCTTTCTCAGCTTTTATGACGTGTCCTAAGTCTATTTCTAGCTCATTTTTCTTGGCTTGCTAATACTGACAAAAGAGCGCTACAACAGCTACCTCGAGACAGTAGGAGATTGAAGTGTCGACAGATGGTGAGCTTGAGCACTAAGTATCATCGTCAGATACATTTAAGCGATGGAACACCTACACTACTTCTCTGTTGTGATCAATGAGAACGAACCAGCGTATATAATCGACTCAAAACTGAACCATTTCTTCTGCGACAGTGAGTAGGTACAAATGGGTCGCTTAAGGAGCGATGTACAACTGATATATCCACAGAAAAGACTTAAATGAGTTATTTCATAAAGATTTATGGCTAATTTTGTAAAACGTCGAGACCATTACGCGATGACGATTTCACAATAAACCTTACACAAGGAGAGAAATTCATTGGTATATTTCGTGAAAATACAAACACAAACTTACACGTTCCTCGAATCAACATGATCTTTATCCATTTATGATAAAACTGCGGCGAAAAAGCATTGATCTCCCTCTAAAATTGTCTTTTTGGACATGGAAACAACCTTGCGCCATACATTTCTGTATAACGAGTAGCAATGTTTGCCCCGTGGCGATCCTAGAAATCTTTGCGCAAACACAAGGATCCGATTACTGGCAGCTCATTCATTGCAATTACTCCTTGCCTTAGACCTTAAACCATAAATGTTTTGTCATGACCTCTAATTAAGGATCAGTCTTTATCTATCAGCTGGGAGGGCGGAATCGGAGAATTGGGGGCAGGGGGAGGACCAGATGCTTTTCAGGGGAAAAGAGGAGGGTCAGTCGTCGCCAACAGGGTATAACGAGAGGACCATAGAAAATTGGCAGCCAATTAACGGCCAATAAGTATCATACGAATATAAAAAAGCCTTGTGAGGGGATTAGGTAAATTCAGACGAGACCCAACCAAGACTGTCCTAGCATTATGTTCTTCTTAAACAGAAAAAGACTCCGATATGTTTTCAGGTTTCCCGACCAAAAAAGTGTCCAAAATAAACATTTACCTTATCAAACCGTTAGTAATCATGTAGGTTAAAGATTTACCAGACTACTTGAAAAATATAAATGAAATGACAAAAACCGACCTACTTCGAACAACCCGTACCATGTTTTCATATGGAACCTCTGCGAAAGAAAATACATGTCTCAGCCACGTCAGACAAGAGCGGGCCTAGAAACAAGTTAATTTATCCTTCCCCAAATTTTCTTCTGTGAGGCCAAGCTGAGGACTTGGGATAGCTGTCTATAGTTTTGGTCAGCTGGCACATCGCCTTATTTTTCTCTCGTGGTCATCGGTTTCTATCCTTTGATTGTTGTTTATTTTATAATTCTCTACAAGTGTTACCACCGCATCAAACACTTTGTTTGGATAGTGAACAATATCATTGTCCAATGTACCCTCCGGATACGAGTGGGTCATCGGATACACGTCTATGACATCGAAACCCGCTTGACACATGGCTGTGATGGCGTACGCGCTGAACAGGAGAACTCGCTAAAAGAAAAATAGAATCAGATAGAAATAAGGTGGCTCGTGAAAGTTTACATAGAATGAAATGGTTGAAATCGAGGATAAGTACCTCTACCAATTCAAGATTATCATCACAGATGTTGCCCTGCAATGTGCATCGATACGTAGGTGATGTCACCCCATTACACGGTCGCCCCAAGTGGAGTTTCGTCGCTCCGAAATATAGTTGCCTCGCTCCCAACTTTTGAGTCTAAATAAGGTTTCAAACGTATTTAAGGGGGCGACGTCATCTGTTATCATAGGGTACAAACCTGCGGTGTGAGGAATCTCTTATCTGTTGGGTTGTAGTACCTTTGCTTATGCTTACATAAGGCTGTAGTTGATTTCCAAATGACCCTCGCTTTTAACTTTAGAACTTCTTTGCCTTGTGAGTCAATTGTTTTCTCTTTCAACAAGTCTATTACGTCTCCAATGACCCTCTGAAAAGTTGTGAAGTTGACGCTTCGGGTATAATGAAGTCCAAGGTTTAAAAGCAGTACACTGGATGGTTGCTGTAAGTCTGTCGTATTAAGAACGCTGCGTATGGCATTTAAGACTATCTCCGGACGAAAGTCGAGGTTATCCCGTGTATTGTTGACTGGTTTATCATTCCTGGTTGGATAGAGCCAGTTATAACTGTTTTTACAGTTGGAGTAGAGCTTTGTGCACAGGTCACGAGAGCGGATTGAATTAAACAGCATAAGTCCTAATGAATCACCGTACACCCACAAAGTACCAGAAGAGCTGTAGTTTTCTGGTAAGGACCAGTCGTATGATTCTGTTCAAAGGAAAAGTGGACTCAACGTCAGTATCGAAGCAATCGCACCCTTACCCCTCCCCTGGCCAAACAACAGTCAACTGACAACAAGTTCGGGTTGGGGTTAAAACTACAGGTACAACTTTAATTAGTAATGGTGTTTCTGGAAAGCTATCCAAATCTAGACTAGTGCTATGCCTACCAAAAGAGGGTTATATAAGTAATTTTCACTTTTTACAGTACATTCTTCATTTAATTCTTGCTTCTAAACCCTATCACAACCCAATGCTGGTAAAGTAGATTAAATGCTGGAAAACCAACATTTCAAATTCTAATTCTAACCGGAAAGAGTGGACAAGATGAGCCACCTCGTAGAATGTCCAATGCTAAATACTCGTTATCGTTATTGCTATTAATCGATATTATCATAATCATTATTACCATCGTAATCAACATTAATGCTATTATTAATTTCTATTAATGAATGGAATGGAAACTCTCCCCTTGTTCATCCTATGTCAATTAGCTTATGGTAGGTGAGTTCTAACCTTCGAGGTATGGCCGCCATTTGTCATTCTTCCACCGACCAAATCCATCCCACAAGTTATTGCACGTGGAAGAACACGACTCAAGGGAATGAAGTTTGTCTGTAGGGAAGAGAGATTCAAGAGAAAATTAATTGAAATTTCAGTTGTTCATGAGCTGGTCGAAAGAGAAACCCTCTCAAGTCTGGTACTCTCAAGTCTCTCAGGAGTAACAAATTATGATTTTATAGCAACCTATTGTATCAATTTATTTTGCACCAGAAACGTACTGAAAAGAAAGTAATACATAAGCCAGGAAATGGTTTTTAATTTAGCACCAAATTCTCACGTCCTACTGATAAGAAATATATGGTAATCAGTAAGGAGAATTAATATTTCGATCACGGGAGTGAAAAGGTTAATTAAGAAAGTAGGCGTACTACCAAGAATGGATTTAGAGAGAATTCCAGGGGCACAGGATACAATTCTTAAATATGAATATGATGATGATTATTATTATTATAATCATTACTATCATTTCCATAGAGTTCGTTTAAGTTTCCAAGTGAGCTATTTACAAGGCAAAAATATATTCCCCCATTTTACCGTGATAATGACCTAGCGTCAACAACGTTTTGTTTTCATATTACTTTTTAAATAATTTGCCTTGTGAAAAGCTAACTATTATTATTATTATTATTATTATCATTATTATTATCATATTATTGTCATGATTATCCATAATGTTATCATTATTTGCGGTATTATTATCATTGTCTTACTCATATTTTAAACCTGCAGTATATTTTCTATTGAAATAGAGAGAGGTTTAATTTTCCTTAATTTTCAAGCCCCTCTTCGGTTGTAAATGCCTTGATCTACCTTCACTCCAGCAGCACTACCCTTGATGTCGCAGCATTAGCTACTCTTGCTTCAAGTTCTCTGACACATTTCTTCCAATCTTAGCTATAGCTGAGACCATCCGCTTGCTGTATACGATAGCTTTAAAATAAGTGGCGAGAGTAATCCGAGATTGTATTGCTTTTGCTTTACCTTGCGACTTAAATGATCCAGAAAACTCGCATCACTTTGTTAAACCAATAAATTAACTAAAGCTCAAAGCAATCGTGAATTGTTCAATCGCGTTTTCTTGCAATTGAAGCTGTTTTCGTGTTTTTACATTAAGCTCTCACTGGCGTTCATCTTGTTGAGATTACTCTGGTTTGGTTTTAAAATAGACTCATTCTCAACGCGCTCGAAGCGACTCATTTTCAAAGCGTTCGCCTTTATTTCTGTCAAGTTACCTACCGGCTAATGACACGATCGTATCTGTTGTTTCTACGGTTATCTCGAGATGTGTTCCGCTCTGAAAGGGCTGTGCCAAGTAATCAACCAGGGGGCCTAGAAGATTTCTCGGTTGAAATTTCCCATGAACGTTCCCCTTAATGAACCAATCAGGTGGAGGGTCCCTGAATCCATCGCACAGACTATAGTCAAGGTGAATCAACAGTTCATAGATACCAGGCTCCATAATAAGAAACAAAGCTTCATAAGTTCCATTATTGTGATCAAAAACAGTCGCTGCAATGCTTGATGGGCCACGTAGGTTGACCCTCCAGGTGTCTCCACCAATTACTTTCGCTCTATTGTCGGTCGTTTTTGATTGGATGAAAATCTTACTGTACTCTCCAGCAGGCCTGATGTCCTGAAATGTTATCTCACTTGTTGAGGCGTCGGTTCTGTTAGCTATTTCCCAGCCATCCTTCACTTTTCCCCAGGCCATATTGTCGTAACACGGTTTGATTATGGCCTGCCAGTCCGAGCGCGCACGATGCTGACGTAGCCACTCACGACAGAAATCGGCGATTTTATTTGCTTCGTTCGTTTTTGCAATAAAACGAAATGATGGGTGGTTTATGAGGAGAGTTGAAGTAATAGTATATAACACCAACAAGCCAAAAACGAGGGCAATTCGCCGTAAGGGAAGATATTTAACAAAGGACGAACGTTCCATTGGCGCTGTAAATTTAACACCTCAGTTGAATGACGAATTCCCGTTGAAACTGCAAAGAGAAGTAGAATTCTTAGTAAATTTATAATAAGTAAATAAATAATAGATAAAATAATAAATAATAAATAAAATAGTAAATTCTTAATAAAAATAAATTAGACTTAAAATATTTGAATTGGCTTACTGTAAGTGATATCTTTCTTCTATTGAATTTGTAAACAAAGAAAAAAGGCCGAAACATTTTGTGACAGAATCACTAATGTCCGTGGAAAAAAAATAGGTTGTTTTGTGCGCTAATAAATACTTGATCTTTTTTCTTTTTCTTTTATGTTTTTTCTCCATGACGTTACTACAGTGAGGTGTTCACGCATATTTTTCATCATTTCAGCTTCTCTTGCCATTGAAAGCATATCCTGCTTTATAAAAGGTTTTTGGCTCGTTTTATCCATTTTTTTGGTACGTTTTGCAATAAACTCAATATATATGTATGTGTCTATATATGTATGTCCTGTCCAACGTTCTAATTAAACCCATCTTCTTGGCCCCGTGTTAAAACTTATGGAGCCTTTCAGTGTCATGACTACTACGAAGAGTATATGAACTGTTTATAATCTCTTGCTACCCTTCTAGTTTCTAAAACTAAGGCCTCTAAAATGCATCTCCTAGTCCATAGTTTGTGTTTGTCCTTCTTCGTAAAGTAATAAAATGTGCTATTATTTTTATGAAGAGATTGTGTCTCATCTATTCGTAATGGTGTATACTGAAAATGTTGTAGCCAATAATGCTCAAAGGCGCACTATCGTCCAGGACGGTTTCTAACTTGGAAAATGGTTTTTAATCATTTTCCAAGTTGTTGTCATAACCCAAAAGTCACTCCTTACCACCTCTCCAGTTTCCTGTTCACTATTTGGTCAAAATCACTGACTAACGCATAGGGCTTGTTAATATTCTTTCTTCTTGGGGATCCTGTATGGGGCTTAACTGCTAACGGTGAAATGATCAAACTTTTCACTGCCTACTGAGAAATCACGTGGCTTTTTTAATTACAACCAGAAAAATCTATCAATGGATGTAAAATGGGCTGACAGAAAACGTACCTTGAAAAGTTTTGCACACTTATTGCGTATTTGAGACGCTCGAACAAATATGACATTCGAGGGCGAGATAGCAGTCCAACATTCAGAATTTAAAGGCCTTTTTCATAAACTTTTTCGATTTCGAAATTAAAAACTCGATCGCTGAAAAACACAGAATCTAAGAACTGTATCTACAATAATCAAAACCCTCATTTTATGTACTTTAAAATCAGGAAAACAAAAAGAAACGAGCGGAATGCTGTGCTAATCAGCCTCTTAAATGCTAATTATTGTGCAATATATATTCAATGTGTCAAAGATATATTCCATTGACACCAAAGATTAAACATGCTCTAAGGGTGTTTTTTTACACAAGGTTTCAATTCGTTTTCTTCATTGAAGCTGCTTTAAACCGATGTTTGTCGACTCCAAATTTAGTGCATCGGAAATACAAGGAAAAATTCAATTTTCAGTTCTTTGTTTCTGATTTTCATTCAGCAAAACGAGGTCTAATCTAACATGTTTGCTTGGTGTAAATGAGGTTATAGAGATACATTAAGACGAGAAATTGTAAACGGGTTGTAAACAGTTTATCATCTCGTGATTAAGAATAACCTTGAAAACACCTGATTCGATCCCAAGACCTCTCTTATAGAAGGCAAAGTCAAGTAGTATCCGTAATGCGCTTTACTTTCCAGGGGCAGGCCTCAAGTCCTGGTATAAAGTCAATTTAGTAGCCTGGATATCTCACATCTTCATTATTCATTTCAAGTCCAAGGTGACACCGGATTTGCTTTCCCGAATAGGAGCAATAGCGAGCTTCCAATAGCGGGTCTCTGGAAATGGTGTTGCCAGATTTCTATTCGACGCTCAGTTTCGTCCTCAGCCAGCTATGGAACAGGTCACACCGAAATTGGAATCGTGGCATCGGTCCCCATGGCGAGCTTTGCTCAAGCAAAATATTCTCATTAGGGTACGAGGTTCAATACTGCTACATTTCAACCGTAAATTTTAATGTTCTCTGGAGGATTATACAATAGAAGGTGCGATCGAGCTTTCGATGAAATGGTGCTGCCAGATTTTTATTTAACGTACAGTTTTTTCCTCAGCCATCTATGGAGCAGGTAACACCGAAATTGGAATCGTGGCATCGGTCTCCATGGAGAGCTTTGATCAAGAAAAATATTCTCTTTAGGGTACGAGGTTCATTACTGTTACATTTCAACCGTAAATTTTAATGTTTTCCGGAGGATTATACAAGAGAAGGTGCGATAGAGCTTTCGATAAAAGTTTTGAAATAATGATATCATGTCGTAAATTGATCAGATCAATTTCAGACACAACCGATTACATTAGCTTGAGTAACGACGCTTGCACGTTTACAACGATGTTCAATCAATTATATCAATTGTGAATAAATAAAGAATCAAAATCTCTAAAAAACTAAACACAAGTATCAACGTACTCTATGTCCATCTATATTGGCGGCATTAACCCTTTAACTCCCAAGATCTCTTAAGTAATTCTCCTTACTATCTGCCATATAATTGTTATGATGTCAATTTGGAGAATTTGGTATTGGATCAACTAGTAATTCCCGAATTGATACTTTTCTTTATTCTCATCAGTTTTATGCTTGATATTGTTTTGATAATGTAAGGAGAAATTCTCTCTTGGTCACTCATGGGAGGTAAAGGGTTAAGCGCCTCATCTATTTCCTTATAGAGGGAAAAAAACTATAAAACGCCTACTGAAGTCAAATTTCTCTGGTAAACAGGAAAAAAAAGTGAGTACCGTAGGTTTAAAATCTTTTTACAACAGTTAAATGAAAATAAAAATTAATTATGAAAAAATGGGAAAAAATTGTTCACCGGAATAACGCTACTGTGAACAAACCTTACATAGTCCATTTTACAGTTACGTATTTGATTACCGCGCCTTTGAAAAGGAGCGAGGCTAAGGCTGACCTTGTTAGGATACAAACGTTGCTGCTTTTCAAATGTAAATTACTCTGTTATCATGGTAACTAGATACTGGTCTCTATCACAACAAGATCATCTTCAGACTCACTCCAAATTAAAGGCTTGGAAACCAATTACACAACTGTAGAATGGCCTATTAAACCAGAAGGCATCATTACATGTTGGGTACATATTTTTTGCACAAAAGACAAAGCTCTCGTTGTTTTAAGGGTGAACAACGCTATCCTCTGGATAAATCGCCATTCGGTGGATAACGCAGTACTTTATGTCAACATGGAAAGGGTAATCCGCCTTTTCAACAACTGAACCCAGGTGGATGATCTCTCCACTTTAACAAGCTTAAAAGCATCACAAAGACACTGCTGTTGGCAGTGTTGGCAAACGTATGTGATATGAAAGTGCCCTATGGCAAATATGTCTCGCTTGGTGCGAATTTCACCACTAGTGGGGCTTACAGAAATGTCCTAATTGGTGTTTTAAATATCGTTTGCTAAGGTACCAAATCACGTTAAAATACGTCTTAAAAGGTCGAAATTCTACTAAGAAACTAATTTCTAGGTTTTTTGAAATGGTACATTTTTGTTTGCTCTCATTCTACTAAAAGCGCTTATTTTAATACTTTTGCATTAATCCTCTCTGTACAAACAATTTTCCACTCCATTTATAGAGTGAAACAAAACCTATGCTTCCTTTGGGGGTGCGGACGGTTCGACTTCTGAACTCTGTTGCCATGGATAAGACTGTCCTGGAGGTGGATACTGAGGAACTGGTTCCTCGCCAGGGTAGGGTGGTGGGGGCTGCAACGGATACGGGTACCCTGGAGGTGGCGGATATGCGTTGGGTGCCGTAGGAACAAAACCCACAGAAGGGGGTGGGTAAGGATTTGATGCCGGTTGAAAAGGAGGTTGGATTGCCGGTTGCTGAGGCGGGGGTGGATGGCGAATCACGCCAGCTTGTGTGGTCTGAGACACTGAGGTAGTAGTCTGTGTCGCCATTGGAATCCGAGCGGCCCTTGATTGATTCGGTCTCGTCTGCTTGTATTTTGCAACACACACCACAACACAAATGCAGACGATGAAAACAACCACACCGACAGTGATGGCGACAATAATCTTAGAAGACCCTGGAGCTAAAAGAAGATTAATAATCATGTGAAACTTATTCCAACCTCATATGTTCTTATCGCAGCTACTTTTAAAATTTCCGTCTCTTAATTTTATCAACAATTTTATTAGATAATCAGTTTACTTTTTTCGGTCTGCGTTTCTTTTATTTTTCTTTTGTTTCACCGAGAAGCAATCCAAATCCGCCTTCAAAGTCAGGGGCGACGCAATTTCAATTTGGAGAGGACGCAACCACATTTCGGGACGACGGAACTTCACTCGGGGGCGACAGGCTAGGGGGCGACAGGCTAGGGGGCGACCGAGAAAGAGGGCGACATCACCCACGACATGCTATTAAACACTAAACCCAAGTCTAACTTTTAATTCCCAAATTAGCCAGGGTCCAAAGTTGGATTCAACCAGCATTGAGTTAATGTGACTGGAAATAAACTGTTGGCGACAACGGCTCAGTTCTTGAAAGGATGGATGACGTTATCCCACGGATAAATCCCCATCCGGCGGATTAGAGTTAACTAAACGTACTGCACTTTCCACCAAACATTTATCTTAGGAGCCAGCTGGCAAATACCACTACGTCTTATGAAACGTCCTTCACGTCCTTTATAATAACCTCAACAAGTGAACAGTCACAACTAATAAAAAGATTTCAGTACAGAACTGCCTCTTAGACGTCACGATCTTGTTTTTACGAATCTGACGCTTTTTTTGCAACTTTATTGTTAATCTAGCGGATGAAAAGCTGAAAAAAAATGTTTACTCGCTACTTAGACCCTGCTCGCTAAAACCGACTCTAAATCCTAAGTAAGAGGTGTCTCACTGATAATACTGATGAACAAAGATAAGCAACTTACTTTCTTTTTCCTCTGCTGTGAATGTGGCCTTAAAACCTGTGCGGTATTGCATAGAGTCTGAGCCGGAATGGAAAGTCACCCTCATGTACCGTCCGCTTGAGCGAATGTCTTCTGGTGTTGATAGACCACAGAATGTTCCTTTGCTTTCACTGTAACTTTCTTTCCCATCTTGAACCTTTACATAATCTTCGCATAATGATTGGTATTTCGGTTTCAGATAAAATTCATCAAAGCTAAGCTTGACAATATTTCCCTCTGGCACAGTGATCACCCAATCACATTTCATATTTGGTGGGTATGTGGAACCTTCCTTTGGACTTTCTAATGTACCATACGTTCCATTCAAACTCAGTTTCTCATTGTTGATGTTCCCATAGTAGCAAATCTCCTTTGAATAAGCAGCAGATGCTATGGAAAAATATGCAAACGACTGACTGTGAATATACGAATATCGTAAATATATAAACTGCGCGTGAATGAATAAAAGAAGAGTGATCTTCGCGGTTATGAACACTACTGAAGCAGTAATGAAAATGAAGCCGCAAAAACAGGTTTAGGCTTGCACGGGAGTTGAACCCATGACCTTTACGATACCGGTGCAGTGCTCTACCAACTGAGCTACCAAGCCAACAGGAAGCTTGTAATTTTTTTGATTCGCAATAAACTTTCGTCAACTCAGTCTTCAACTCATAATGGTAGCGGTGCACCAGCAAATTGGATTGGTAAATAGGTGTAAAGGCACTTTTACAAACGTCAGCCTCTTCCGCAATTCAAAGCGAGTTGAGGTGACTTTGTTTACATTTATTGTAGCTGAAATGGTAGAAAAGCATAACACAAATGTTTCCCCTTTTTTGCTAAAGAAAAGAAATTAATCGCAAAGATTCTACTGGGGCTCACGGGCCGCATGAAGCAATTTTGTCTGCTGCTAGAACCAATCATATTTCGGGATTTCCTGGATTTTGCTTGCTTGGTCACGCCTATCTTGTCAAGTTTTCAAAGACTGTTGGGTTTGTACTAGGCTATTTGCTCTGGATTTCTATGCGTGATACTTGATTTGGGCATCGCCCCCATCAACTATCACACAATGTAATCGTAAATTTGAGGAAAGTATGACGTTTGTTATGCTCCAAATAAAAGAAATATGCACCGGCAAGTAACCATGATACTCACACAGCTCTGAAACTTCGAAACGTGCTTTAAAACCTTTATCGTACGAAGATGACGATGAAGAAGAAAACCTAATTCTCATGTGATTCCCAGTCGAATAAACATCCCGCACAGACTTCATATTGTAGTTGTAATCACAATATCGAACAAGCTCGTCACTCCAAGAGTACTCCCCGTCACGAATCGACACATAGTCTTCATCGCCCGTATGGTCATTACATTGGGTGACGCCTATTCCAAGGTCAAAGTCTTTAAACGTCAATTTGACTCTTTTTCCAGCTGGAACGGAGACCACCCAGGTGCATTTGGTATCACTTGGGTATGGATAGGGATAATCAGGACTGAAAATTGTACCAGAAGGGCCACTGAGCTGCATGACGTCATAACCTGAGCCTCCGTTGCGACATATTCCAGCGGCTTCCTCTGTGTGACGTAGAAATAACATTCCCATAAGTTAAGATTTTTATCAAACACCGCTGCATGTGTAAGAATATTAAATTTGCTTTTCACTTTAAAGTAAGGCAAAGAAATAAATATCTGTGTTGAGACTTGAAATCCGAACCACATCCTCTCGTAATTATTTTAATCGGATGGTGTAAGCTTGGTGGTTTTGTCCAATTGCAAGTCGCCCTCTACAAGTTCGCCCCTACCTCAACGTAGTGTTGCAAATTTTATCGATGAGTGGAGTCAGTGCGACTTCAGCTTCACAAATTTTGGAAATAATTTTTGAATATTTGGAGCCAAGTATTTCAAAGAAAAGAAGCAGTTTTATTTAATATTCCTAAAAGAGAGTCTTACACAATTATACTATTACAGTGTCTACTGGCTTGGTGCATGATATATTAAATGATAATGAAACAAAAACTACATGCGAAAATGTTTACACTATCGTGACGGATACACGAAGTATCCAAGGTGGTCCGCTGACCTATAAAGCTCAAATCCGTGCTGACGGTAATCGAGTAAATTTTAATCGCAATTCACCCTCCTCCTTTTTGTCGTGCAGTACAGTTGTTTAATTTAGATTATTTAATTAAGGTTAAAAACGTCTGCACTTAATGTAAATTGCACTTGATGCGAAAAAGGTCAGGTGAAAACTTTGTTTGCTACCGTAAATTTCTGGGGTCGAAGTGACTCCCTCCGTAATCTCAGTGGAGTCATGTGAACAATTTTGGCGTAAAATACGCCTAATTTGGCACATTTGCGAATCCTGTCAACGAGTTGGCCTCATCAACTACATGAACTTCTTTACCACGCCTTTCTAAACACTGAGGTTCGTTTAACGCTTTACACCATAAAATCAGAATCCATATTCTCTACACTCTTCTCTTTAAACTTATTTTGGTACTTACAAGGAGAATTTGTTTAACAATCAAAGCTTCTAAGGTTGGTGATCATTTTCTTTATCCTTATGATCTTAAATGAATGATTCAGAAGTATTACTGTGAGGAGAAATTATAAGCTGGTCACTCTTAGTGTTTAAAGGGTTCAGAGAAAAAACATGTTTCTTCTGGCTTCAAGATTCACATGCAAAATTCTTGCTGTGACTCACATGTTTGTCTAATAATAAAGAGCTTCCCTAGTTGGTGATCATTTCTTTTCTTCTTGAAACCTTTATGTGTGATTCAAAGCTGATATTGTAATGAAAAATTAGATGATAGTCAAAGGTTAAAGGGTTCACTAAAGAAGATTTATGATGTGATTAGCTTTGCACCCTCAAACCACATTGAGAAGATCTGATTTTTGCCAAGAGATTTTCATGGATGTTTACAAAATCGTATAAAACTTGCATCAAATGAAGGCAATCAACACCCACATAGCTGCTATTTGTAATTTATATTGTCTTCTAATATTTTCTATATTGTTTAAGGCCAATCTATTATGTATGAATTTTTTATTCCGAGTATTTCTTCGCTTTCTACTTTTACACTATGGACAAAAACTGAGTGCAGTGACAGAATACAATGAACTGCGAAAAATAGTAATGAATGATTACCTTTTGCAACAGCTGCAACATTTAAACTAAAACCCTTGTAAGAAGAACCATAACGAGACGAGAACTTTATATACAGGTAGCGACCAGAGGAATATATAACTTCTGGATTCACTGTTCCACAATAGGATCCAAAGGGATTGGACGATGTGCTATCTCCATCATAAAATTCCAACTTCTCACTAAAACAAATTCCAAGAGATCCCCTTCCGACCTGAAAGTCATTAAATGTAACCTTCACTATATAATCACTGAGAAAGCTGCCAGCTTGGATGCGCCAATTACATTCCAAGTTGTAGCCATAATTTGATGGATAACCAGGACTTGTGATAGTTGTATTGAACCCCGTTGTGGCATCAATATCTTGTGGATAAACTGAACAACCTAAGTTAAAAGAAATTGAGTTATGAAAAGCAATTAACTAAACAATTAAACAACTAACAACAATAACAACAACACATCATAAAAATTTAAGAATAAGAGAGGTTTTCTTCCTGGTCAACCAACACTTACTGCACCTTCTATACCTTAAACTACCAAACAGCAAGAGCCACAGTTCCTGACATTGGTTTTTTCAAACTGGTAGACCTATCTAAAAATCCATTAATTTTAGTCCCTCTCAAGTTTTTAGATAGCAATACTCCCAAATTTTTATTTTTTGTACCCTGCAGATTTTCTGTCAGTGTTAGGGGTGCAATCATTTCCTTTGCCACCATAATAATGAAAGATAATTAATTAGTATGTGATGTCACTGTTAAAATTTAAACTATAATCAAACAGAGGAGTTACATAAACCTATCTAGGAAACAACAGCCAAACTAACTACATGAAAAGAGATTACATTTTAGACTAAGTAAAAGCCTATTTTTTCCAAAAAACTGCTCACCTGATGAAGGTTTAATTTGAAAAATAGAGATGCTACTCAAACTACCAAAATGATCTAATTTCCTGAATCCATATGACAATGAATAATTTCTGACACAACTTTCTGAACCTTTTTTATCTTACAAATCTTTCATTTAAAAAAGCACCTATAATATATATAACAAATAAAATGGAATTACAAGCAAAAACATCATCAAAAGTCACACAATGTTTTCAACCATTGATAACATGGTTATTGACAGTCTATTGACTGCATTGTCTTTTTTTTTTTACAATAAACATTTGAAAAGTTGACAAATAATAATACAAAGGGTCATGGAATTATCAAAAGGATAAATTAATATTTAGTGCTCTTTGAATTTGCTTCTTTAAGAGGTAACAGCTAGACCCTTCTTATCATCATCTTACAAACATAATTTCAAGTTTTATTGTAAGTTAATAGTAATACAATTATAGCAAAAAAATATTGCCAACTTACTCTGTCCATAAACAGGTTCAGAAATCCATGATGAGGCTAATACAAGAACTATAATCAAAAGTAAAGTAAAGGTTAATGCTTTCACCCTTAAACTCTCATAAGTGACCAAGAAACAAAGAAAAATCATATGCCATTGAATTACATGCACTAACTTCCCAAATGGTGTTGTTTTGCAATAGGGCAAAAGCAACAACCGTCCATATTGATCCCCTAGAGAGTCATGTATTTGTTCAGATGTACTTTCGCATTATGATCCTAAAAACAGAGTCTCTTGAGCTGATGCAGCAAAATTTGGAAACCTTTTTGGGTAGGTATTTGCAATTTGCTCTCACTGGTGCTAATTTGAGAGAGATCGTTTGAATTTTGTGGAATTTATCAGCCTTTGGATGGCAAGGGTTGGTGCTTGGGACCAGTCTTCCTAATTTTAAATAGTGCACAACATGTGGTACAAGGAAAGTCAACAAGTCCAGAAGTGACAAGGTGGCTACGGAATAAAAGTAAGAAGGCTAAACAGATCTTAACATGTCAGTTTTCTTGCTTGTAGTGTACTTCAATTTTTTTCTATTTTTCTCTTTTTTTTATTACGACACAAGCTCATGCTTAAATTTTAATCTTAATCCCAAAATCACACACAGTAAACTTGGGACACCAGTGGTTTGATTAAATTTTTTTTGTATTTCTGCTTGATGAATTATTTGCTTTCCCAACTGCAACCCACCCCTCCACCCCTTTTGAAATAGCTCCCCTCTCCAACCTATCACTGAAATTGTACACACACACACACATACACAATTGACTGCTGTCCTGTTTGCCTGACCCAAACTGAGACAGGCAACAACAAAACAGAACGCTACAATACCTGGTGCCACCCTAAAACTTTAATTTAAAATGTCGATTTAGATTCAACCCTTCGTTTGCATAGTAGAAAAATCATAAGCTTCGTCTCATCACGAAGTGCTTAAGCTTCGTTTCGACCAGATTGATTAATCGTGCATGTACGCTATACATAATAAACTTTGAAAAGAAATCTGGAGGATTACAACAATGAAGGCACGAGTGAGCTGTCGGTAAAGTTTGCAAAATAAATGAAGCTAAGGTGAGGCTGTAGACTAATTGCAGACACTGCAAATTTATAGAGACTACATGGAATTCTTTCTTTCGCTTGTTGTGACATTCGATCGATCGAAGTAAAAAATGTTTATAAATCACAAATTTAGATCTATAAAAGTTAAACATCTATATCAGATCGCTCTTTTCGTACCTATATAGGTTGCTTTAGGCACTCTCGAGTCATCGATGAGGAAAAACACCTTAAACGTAAATACTAATCGACTTTGATGCTTCGAATTGCATTGATCTTCATCGATCGCATCATGTCTAAGTGAGGGAGCTAAACCAAAAAAACAACACAAAATTTAATCATAGAAAAGTTTACCTATCACGTTGAAGCTTGCTCCAAGTGCCATGAACAATCCAGCGGACAGAGATTTAACTAGTAAACGTTCAGATTCTGCAGGTGGACTTTTATTCGGTTTTCAGGCGTGGGTGGAATCATGGGTAGCTAATTAAGGTCTTGCGAAAACGGCCACAGGACAACCAGCAGCTTAACTGCTCTGAATAGCATTATTTAATAACTTTAAATTACCAGAAACTGGTAATTACCAGAAATTTACTGGAATTTAAAAAGAAATTCTGATATTAATTCCGCGTGAATCTACTTGTTTTATACTTATTTTAAAGCTAACATCAGATTTTTTATCCTTTCATTTCATTTCCCTGATTCACACAATTTCCAACTCTTCCTGTTAGACATTTGTTACCTCCTTAGCCCCGAAAATATCCTCATTATTGTGAAATTTTTTCCATTCAACTATCCCCTTGAAGATAAAACGATGCTGTATGGAAAAATTTCTCGATGGTCACTCCTAGAAGTGAAAAGGTTTTACTCCTTCCGCTACCTGGACCAATGGCGTCCTTTCTTTGCGGGAGCCTAACGCAGGAGAACCACAAAAGCCGTTAGATGTGGGACAGAGAATGCGTGATCCATCCACTTGAGCGATCACTTGTTCTGCCTTATGGTTTTAGCTTTACTCAGTGCTTTAACCTTCCCCCAGTCCCTCGTCATTGGTGCTCCAGGACGCGCGTTTATCGGCCTCGATAAGATTTGAGACGGGTTAGGGAGAGGTTTGCCGGGCAGGGATCTAGTGCATTCGCGAAAATAAGAAACGGTCGTGTCGAAGGGCTTGAAAAGCCAGGGACTGCCCATAGGCTATTATTGCTTTCGAATATATGTAAACAATAACTGCAAACTATTTTCGAATGATGAGCAAACTTTCAATTAATTAAAAAAAAACAATACGGAATGGTGCTCCTGTGCATTGAATTCTAAGGTTAATCAGAAACCGGGCAACATAGTGGTATGTTCCATCATAGGTATAGCCGCAAACGCTAATCACTCGTATTTCAAACTTTACTAGAACAAACTTGACACATTGTTGAATACGGTAACTGAAAAAGACAAAATTACAAACACGCGAATGAGCATAAAATAACTTACATCGTATGAGTGAAAGTACTGGAAAACGACAAAGCGAAATAAGCAAGGATACTTACAAGACGAATGTGACCAAACCAAAGACGAAAACATGAAACCCAGAGCTAGATATGTAACGATAATTTTCGCAAACTAGACAACTAACCAAATAAATTACGCGCAACCAATATATATACGATATGCAAATAAATATAACAAGTACAAAACTGGTAACTGACAAAGGACACTAATGAAGACGAGAAAATAAACACCTAACACGAAACTATGAAACACCAACACTAACAAAAAATGATAATACAAATTCTTGCGCCTACAATAGGTATATAATTTTTTGCGTGAAAAACCTGTGTTCATGATCTCTTCTCTTCAAGAAGCTTAACATCATCACATAATTATTGCTGTCAGCACTGACAGCAAAATTTAGGTGATATTTAGGTGTCCTGTGGCAGATGTCTCTCATTGAGTACGAGTTTGGTGAAACTTAAGGAAGTGTCTTAATTAAGTGTTTAAATTTCATTTTCTGAAGACTTCTTTCAAATACGGCTTTAAAAGTCCAATTTCTTCTAATTTTGCATGCATATAATTTACAATCCATAGCTTCTGCTACTTATTCAGAGCAGTGTGTCAGCACCTTAATCCCTGCTGTGTGACCACTGGTCGCATCATTTGTAAAGTAAACAGAACTTATGGTTCCTGAGGGGGGCGTGGACCGTTTGACTAGCGCATTCTGTTGTCATGAATACGACTGTCGTAGGGGTGGATACTATGGAACTGCTTCCTCCTCAGGGTAGGGTGGTGGTGACTCCGATGGATATGGGTACCCCGGGGGTGGTGAATATGCGTTGGACGGCGCATGAGCGAAATCCACAAGAGGGGCTGGGTAAGGATTTGATACCGGCTGCGGGAGTGGATGATGTATCACACCTGGCTCTGTGATATGGGGTTGTGTGGTTTGCGTTGACATCGGAATCCTGGCAGCAGCCGATTGTCTCTGAATCCTCCGCCTGCATTTTACAACATACACCAAATAAAGATAAGATGAGGAAGACAACCACACCGACAATGAGGGGTACTGTAGCCGACGAAGACTATGAGGAAAGAAGAAAAAAAGATTAATAATCACGAGAAGCTGTGGCCGACCTGCTAATGTATACTCAAGTTCTAATGATGACATTTTTTTATTTTTTCCTCTATTCCGAATTCCCGTTTTGTTATGTTTGGGTTTCTCAATTAGTTAACGAGTCAGTTAAATAGCTAATTGATTTGTTTGTTTTATTTTTGTCTCGTTAATTTTCCCTTTATAAGCAATTCAAATGCGCTGTAATCGTCATGATGACGCATACTTAGCTACCATTCTGAATATTCTTTTACCCGGGATCACTAGTTACCAGTCTGGCGCCCTAACCACTCGACCACACTGCCTTCTTGATGTTTATCCTAACACCACACCCTTAATTAAATGAGAGTCCGTTACTAGCTTTTTCTCGCTTTAATCTACTAAATTGATAATCATTCACAACGAAGCATATGATCTGAACATGGACATGTCTCGAAGAAGTCGCGAGTTTGAATTTCGCTGTGAGGCGTAAATTTTAGGAATCAGACTGATTTTTGGCGAACAAATCCTTCCGTCTAGCGAAGGAAAGAAGGAAATAATCGCCATTTGGCGTAAACCAACTTTGATTTTGGACCCTGTTTGTTCCAAGCGCCTTTCGAATAGCTAATTCAAAATCCTAACTTGGCGTTCTCACAGATAGAAAGCTTTTCAATTGAGTGCGGTTAAACCAAAAAGTTTTGGAAAATCAAAAACTGATAACAAAATAAAGCAACTTACATTTTACGTCCCTTACTGTAAATGTGCCTTTGAAACCGGTAACTTTCTTTCCTCTCTCGAACTTCTACATAATCTCCACAACATGATTCGTAGTCGTGTTCTAGTTGAAATTCATCAAAGTTGAGTCTCACAATCTTCCCTCTGGAACCGTGATCACCCAATTACATCTCTTACCTGGAGGGTACAAGAAACCTTCCTTTGGACTTGCTAAAGTTCCTTTCGTTCTAGTCCAACTTGGTTTCTCATCGTTGAATTTCCCTAGGTAACATTTCTCTGAATAAGTAGCAGAAGCTATGGATCGTAAATTATATGCATGCAAAATTAACCAAAAACACGGAGGCCCGATCCAAGTGCCATGAACAATCCGGTGAACCGGGATAAAACCAAGTATCAGCAAAGATTTTACATGTAAATACCCGCATTAAGGCGGAGGTGGAGTCATGGGAGCTTTTTAATAAAAAGATCACAGGACAACCAGCAAATTAATACAGCGCTGTTTTATAACTTTGCTGGGACAGCTTGAGATGAAGGTTCCATTTAAAAGGAAAAAGGGCGTTTCATGCACAATTGTAAGACGAACCGATCGTTACACACCGATTAACAATACCAATTTATTGGACACTGGTTTCGAAAGTCAGCGAGCTTCAGAAAGCCGAATCTCAAGAGTTCTGCGTGACAAACAGCCCAAAGTGTAATACGAGGGCATGAGACAAAATAAAGAATTGCGATGTTTGGGAGCTTTTGCCTTGTGCCTCACAGTAATGCATTGACCACATAGACAATGAACAGCTCTACATTAAACACTTAATATTCCTGGTCACAATTGTTTTTAAGATCATATACCAAATCAACCAAATATATTTTTTACATCTTAGAGTGGGCATAAAAATCGTGCATATCTTATAATCTGGTCAACTACAAATGGACTAATTTAGGGGGGCACTGAAAAAGCTATATCCAAAAAAACAAAAAAAACTTGCTCTTGCCAGAGATGTAGGAAGCAAGGCAAGCTATTGACTAGTTTCCAAACTCTAGAAACAAAGTATCCGAGACTTAACCCTTTAACCCCCAGAGGTGATTAACATGTAAGTTCTCATATAATATCCATACATTATCCTTCAAACAGGTAATGAGAATACTCAAACTGATCAGGTAGAAGTTGTCATCTTGATCTAACACCAAATTCTTGTTACTATTTGACCGGGAAATGTGTATCTGCTAGAGGGGAGAATTAACAATCAGATCTTGGGATTTAAAGAGTTAAAGACAGTTTCTAAGGTCCAGTTTGATCAATCCTGATGTAATTGATTTTCAACAAGTTTATTTTAATTGGTTTTTCCCTCAAGATGATCAGACTTGACCAGAAGGATTAAAATGTCACTGCTGTTACTGATGTTGGTCATCTTTTTTGGACAACTGTACATATCACTGGTGTTAAGTAGCTACTGAGAGTTCCCTCTAAATGTAATAAATTAAAATTGTGATCAATGAAAACTTTGTTGCAAAGAGCTGATCAAAAATAGTAAATGTTAAATAAAGTGACTAAGACTGACAAATTCTGCATTATTTTTTGAGCAATGGTTAGCTGATTAATTAATGTATAAGATCACTGGCGTCATATGATGATGATGATAAACTTCTTTGAATGGAAAGACAACATTCTGTACACTTTAAAACATTGTTTTTACATCTGCTGCCATCAGAACTGAGGTCTAATACAAGCTTGTCTTTTTCATAATACGAAGGAATTCAGCTTCATTAATTTCCCCATCACCATCTCTGTCAGCCTCATCAATCATTTCCTGCAAAACAGAAAAAACAAATGAACCCTTTCACTGCCAAGATCTCATTAGTAATTCTATTTACAGTCTGCCAAATAATACTCGATATGTTTGTGTGGAGAATTTGGTGATGAATCAACTAATAATCCTCTAATTGATATTTTTCTTTATTCCCATCACTTATCTGCTTGATAATGTATTTGATATTGTAAGGAGAAATTCTGTCTTGGTTACTCAGGGGAGTTAAAGGGGTGTTGACTGGACCTCTTTAGAAACTGAAACCCCTTAAAAATTTTGTTTTGCTGTTCCTAACATGAAGGAAAGGGAGAGGTGGGTAAGCATAAGAAATATTTAGGTTTCTCCCAACGTTTGCCTCACCAATCGCTGACAAAGTTTGGTGAAAAGTTTTTCATTTTGCCTTCATATGCTTTAAAATTGTTTGAAAAGATCTGTTCACTGCTCCACAAAGTAAACGCCTGCATTCTCTTGCATTTAAAGCTTCACAAGTGACTACTCTACCTCCCCAACACTTTTCAGAGAAGTCATGGCCCAGCAGAGCTGTCCTGCTTAATACATAAGTACAAAAAAAACATATTTTTTAACCCTACAGATTTGTTTTATCCAACAGACTGCTCCTGGGAGGTGCAACAATGCTCATAAACAGTAGAATCCTACCTGTAATTCTTCATCAGTTAAATTTTCACCAAGTTCTTTAGCAACTCTTTTAAGGTTTTTAAATGAAATTTTTCCCTGTTAAAAAAAAAAAATAATAAAAAATGCTAAGTAAGTTCTCTTAGATTTGGTCAAATTCAGCATATGCTATACCAAATACAAAACATCTAAGACCTGGATAGCTAAAAAACTTAGCCTGACAATGTACCCCTTTTTATTTTGAAGGAGACCCCAACCCTACTGGAAGTCTTTCAGACTCCTGATATCTCCAAGGATACTTCATATCCAACATATTTATACAGTATGTAAGTGTTTTATGCTTACCGTGTTATCGTCATCAAAGAGTTTGAATGCTTTGAGAATTTCTTCTTTAGAATCTTTTTCACTCTGAAAGGAAATAACAAAAATCAGCGACAAAGAAAAAAATTTACAGTATTGTAAAGGTCACAATACTGTACAGTTACAGCACTTGCATCTGGTATGAAAAAAAATTGTATGTAGTATCATTGATAATGTTGACAAAATCAGTATTCATCAATCTACAGTCTATATGAAAACACAATCTTCCTTCTTTCACAGATTATGCAGCAGCACAAAATAAAGAGAGGGAAACAAAAACATTAGCATGAAACAAAAACTCACTGTCCATGGTTCACTCTTTTTAAATGTTGATCAAAAAGTAACGCATGTTAAGCTCACCATTTTTGCTGTCATCATTTGGAGAAACTCATTAAAATCAATAGTTCCTAAAGAAAGAGAATGAAAAAGATCATTTCAGTATGGCGTCAGGTAGAGCTTGTTCAGCTTAAGACTCAACAATATTAATGGCACCCGCCCATGTGAAAATTGAGGAAACTCATTTTGAAACTATCGCCGCATGTTAAAGCTAATATTAATTGTTAAGTCTTTAGGAACCATTACAATACACACCTGCAACATACCTGTAAGTTAAACAGTAAGTTATTATGTCAGTAATGAGAATGTTTTAAATTGTTATCATACCTGATCCATCTTTGTCAATGTCAGATATCATTTTCTTGATTTCCTCTTTTTTTGGTTCAAAACCCAGTGCTCTCATGGCAACCTACAACAACATTACAAATCAAAAACCAAACACTTGCAGTATCTGAGTGTTTAAAAGCAATTGTTTCCTTTTAAACTAGTTTGGTTAGTTTTGTTCTGTTTTAAGCAATTTAAAGTAATATGTTAAAAAATTGGAACAAGACCCAAGAACAAACTATAGGTTCTAGCAGAACTTTTCTGTAGAAACACTAAATACCGTTTACCTTCAGCTCTTTTGCATCAATCGTCCCAGATCCATCAGTGTCAAACAAATCAAATGCTTCTCTAATCTCTTGTTTCTGTTCTTCTGTTAATTCTGGCTTTGGACCTGAATTAAACAGGCACATTTATTTAGCAATCAATCAACTGACGAAGGGCTAATGCTTGAAAAATCAGCTTTAGAAACTCTTTATGGTGGCCAATTCATGATGTCATCTCAATTAATAAAACCAGATTATCTTCAGTTGATATTGGGGAAAATAAGTGTATACCAAATACTTCATGGAAAGTCTGTCCATATGGTATTTACACAGGAAAAAATTGAACAATTAAGAGCTAGGAGCAAGTGATATTTCTGATAGAAACCAACAAGCATAAAGGTGAAGGATGGTTTGGCTGGCTTTGTTTCTTATCCACAGAAATTATCGGAGGACATATATCAACAACGACAGTGGTTATCATGTGATAACTGCCCAGTAATTTTGCCCCTCGTGATGTAAAATAGCCAATAGTCATGCAAAAATTAATGGGTAAGTTATAAACGTAAACACCCCTCACAATCTTTTTTTTTTAATTGGATGGCTTTGTTGTCTGTTGGCTACAGGCAAAATTCATTTAGTAATACATAAAATTTCTTACAAGGTTCAAACCAACCTGTTTTCTTCCTCTGCCCTGTCGAGAGAGCCCCTTTTCTGTATGATGCTGCCTGTAGAATGAAAAAGAAAGTTATTCAGCCTATTCATCCAGGTACATACACATACACCCTGTATATGGAAGGTTCTCATCACTGACAGAGCAATCAAATGTTCTAAGCAAGAGTGAACATAGCAATGACTACCTGGTGGTAGCATGCTTTTAGGCTGTCAGGATCAAGTTCTCTTTCACAAGTAACAAACAGCCAACCACTCAAGCCATTAGTTCACATTGTTTTAGTAAAATGTAACTTTTTTGGTTAAGCTCAAAACAGAATGGTAATCAACAGGATACCTGTACTTGAATAAGCTTTGTGTTTGGAAAGTGTTCAGTTTTCTTTATCAAGATTTCTATGAATATTTCAATCATTTTTCACATATTTCCCTAAACAGCAGTCATTTGTCATGTATTTTTTTTTAAATATAGTGCTTGAGGTTGGCATGCAGGGAGCCAAAATTGATTCCTTTGCATGTGCCTGATGTCTGATTGCTGTTTTCTCACAACTGTATAAAACTTTTTATGATCCATTATATATTTTTGCTCCTGTGCAATTGGTCTAAACACAGCATGTGAACAAATATTCCCCAGCTAACACTGGGTGATATCTGAGCAAATCACCCAAGTGATATTCTCCAATTTTCAAACCTTACGTGCATGTCCACTAGGATAGCTCTTTGAGGGTTTTATGGTTGTTACAGAAGAAGGGAAATCTTTTTCTGTTTATTGATTCATACCAGAGAACACACAAAAGAAAACATCAAACACTGCATACAGTAAGCTGTTCATAAACATACCTTCAAAACATTTGAAGGATAATGAACACAATAGCCTCTGTTTTGCCTGAAAATATGTACAAACATTTGTCCTTGGACATTATTTGTTCCTCAAAGCTCATAGCTTTCTTCAAGCTTTGCTCTTGGTAAACTGTTTATATCTTGATACAGATAATGTTCATGGACAAATAGCCATACATAATTTTTTCACCAAAGAGAGGCTCTACTTATATATTATCACTGTAAACTTAAACATATCCAGGATGTATAACCCAACTCCTAACTGGAAAAAACTTAACGTAAGTGATCTGAGGATGAATGATCACGTTTTAAAACAAGATCATGAACAATGTACAATAAAGCAGCCAGCCCCTGGATGTAAGACTGCCCGTTGTGAAAAAAATACTCAGATAGTGGAATTTTAGTACTAAACGGAATAAAAATTGCAACATAGGACTGTTGAAGGTTCTCAAGTAAACTTACATGAGGCTAAAACAAGAATTGAAAATGTTCGATGCAACACGATCCAGAAATTTAACTTAATGGGGGTAAACCACAGTACATGAACACAATCTGACAAGCTTGCAACTTACGACAGGAAAGTCGCCATTGATCATTCCCTTGAGAAAAAGACTGGTAATAGCTTTCCAGTTTCATAAGACGAAAAGCATAAAAGTAAACACAAATTCAAGATAGAAGTTTAACCGTCGCGTCTTATTCTAGGCAGCAACACAAGAATTCCATTTCAAACGGAACATTTCACGATGTGAAAGTTAAGTTATGGAGTCTCCAGACGATGTAAAACTATAACGACGCGCAAGGCTTTGCAACGGATCAGTGTCTTAACATGAAGTTTATACAAAGTCTTTTCTGGTTCAAATTTTGTAATTCCCGGTGTTTACACTCCCTAACGATCGTAAACGATCACACAAGACTCGTGCAATATCACATCAAACAAGCGTTTGTTTGCAAATTTTGTCCTCGAAAGAAAATCACAGGGGGGCCAGGGTTGATGAAGCTGAAGAATTGAAATAACCTACCATTGATCTGATGTTGAACACACGGTTATGGCAAAGCTGTAATCCAAGGATTGGCGATTAGAAATCAGTTTGACAACAGAATTGTGTTTGTTTTACGCGGTGAACAGGACCATGGAGAATCGTGGTGCATTGTGGACTTTCCCGCTTCCCGCTAAAATGAGAGAAGACTGGGGTTAGCTAAGCTACCTTTCTTTCCCAAACCTTTGTCATTATTAGGGTATTCGAGACGGACCTTTTATTTTCCTTTTGATTTTAAAAGAAAAAGAGTGTTTTTTAAGTTGCTTTATAGCCTTCCAAGCTAAAAGCTAAAGCATCTTTGTGTTCAGCTCTGACCGTTGCATACCCAACTTTGACCTAGAAATTACATTAAGTGTAACGAGATTACCATCAGACTAATTCTAAAAAAGACGTGGAAGGGTTCTATGAAATTAGTTCTAATTATCTTAATTTGAAATTGTTGGTTATTCTTAATTGTATTCCCGCGAAATAATTTGTATCTTCATCAAAACAAAACAGATAAATTTAGACAGGAAGCACTCGAACACAATGACTCCTTTCGCTAATCCGCCTAACGCGCTGGGGTAATTCAATCAATTAGGTCCTTTACTTTAAGGGTTGAAAAAGAACATTTATTTCGAGTACCTAACCGGAGTTTGATCAATCCTGTACTAGTAGCACCGAGATCACAGTACTCGTCACTCTACCAGAAGAGACCGACCCAGGAGACAAGATTGAGGCCAGGAAGCCTTATCACAAACACTGCCCGGAATGCTTGCGCATTCGAGACAAAGGCGGCTGAC